ACCAACATTTTTTTTCTTTGAATGCTTTGAATATAGCTCCTGTTACAGAACTAATGTGTCTGGACCCCCTTGAGAAAGAGCCACTTGGAAAAATGAGTCACAGTTTATTTCTAAACCTTGAAGTGATGGGTATGTGATTTTGTTTTTTTCTCCTCTGAATTTTTGAAACCATTTGTCAGAGAAGATAAGCTTCAGCCTTGGTTAAAAAGAAGCAATCATGTGGCAAAACAGTTTAGGGGTTCAAGTAAGGGCCAGAGAAACTATGAACCATGTGAAAGGTTTGTAGTTCATAGGTTCCTGTGTGCTGTTCTCTACCTTTTTTTTTTTTTTTTTTTTTTAAGTTCAGTCATTCTTTTACTTCTTCCTTGAAGTAGTTTGTAATGCAGAGTTTGGTGATGTGTAGTGTCCTAAAATAGATTTCTGCATTTTGAGAATAAATAGCAGAGCAATTAGTGATTATGTATTGGGTTGTTTTTAAGATAATTCAGATGTTTTTCTGTAAGGCTATGTCCTGGTTTTGGCTGGGATAGAGTTAATTTTTTTTTCTAGTAGCTGGCATAGCACTGTGTCTTGGATTTAGTATGAGAAGACTGTTGATAACACCCTGATATTTTAGTTGTTGCTGAGCAGTGCTTACACCAGTCAAGGACTTTTCAGCTTCTCATGCTCTGCTGACTGAGAAGGCTGGAGACACGGAGGAAGCTGGGAGGGCGCACAGCCAAGACAGCCGACCTGAACTGGCCAAAGGGCCATTCCAGACCATATGCTGTCATGCTCAGCATAAAAAGTAGGGGAAAGCTGGCCAGGGGGCCACTGCTCAGGGACTGGCTGGGCATTGGTCGGCAGGTGGTGAGCGATTGCATAGAGCATCACTTGCTTTGTATATACTTTCTTTATTATTATTATTACTACTACTAGTACTATTGCTATTTTATTTTCTTTCAGTTATGAAACTGTTCTTATATCAACCCACGAGTTTTTTTTTTTCACTTTTACTCTTCCCATTTTCTACCCCATCCCACTGCGGGGGAGTGAACAAGTGGCTGTGCGATGGTCAGTTACATGGGGTTAAACCATGACAGGCTATTACCAAGGTTATAATTGTTCTTATCTCATTTTGTCTTTTTCTTTCAGAAAAACATTACCAAGCAAATTTATAGCAGAAACTAGAACTTACTCATAACCTAGTATAGTGAAATGGAGACTATATAGCATCGCGATAGTTTTGAGCAAAAGAGAATCTCAGTCTCTTTCCTGTGCTAGTAATAAAATCTCTTGCTTCAGCTGAAGTCCTGTTTTGCATGGTAGTTTTCTCATCTGTGTATGTTATTATAATAGAAATAATACTTAAGATTTTCAGACAAAAATGATGAGTAAATTATCATAATTACTAGACTTCTTGGCTGCCTAATACTACGTTCAGGGGCGTTAGTACTTATGTGAATGGAAATGGACTTCAGTGCTGCAGTACTGAATATGCACATGAACAGCTGGTATAGCAGGATGTAATTGTGTGTTTAAGTGTTTGCATGGGTCCATGGATTTTGTAGCTGGCCTCGTGGTAGCTGTGTGAATGCTGACTTTTTTTGTTCCATGAACTTCCAAAACTTCCACAACGCCATGTAGATGTAGTTCTTTCTATTATGAAACTGAACTCAGGGAAATAAGGATTTGGTGTACAGGGATGGGTATTTTAAAGAAGATCCTTGAGCATGTGGAGAACGCAGGAGGAGAAACACAGTGTATGCAGGGCAGGCCTGACAGCTGGTGGGAGGGTTTAATGAGTGAGGGGCCAAGGGTCCCGCATGGCCAAGGCAGCACAGCAGCCAGATCCGGACTAACGCTCTTGAGTCCAGGATTAGATGTGTAATGACTGTACAGCTATCTTGAGAGTCAAGATGGTCTTGTCTGGGGCTGGAACTGTCTGGAAGAGTGTGCTTCGTGTGTTCTTGCCTATGGCTGCCACCAGTTGCTAGTTTTCAGGTACTGGTCTGAGACAGTATCTGTTGAACGCTGCATCAAAGTTGAATTGACTCCCGCTGGAAAGTAAATGCACGTTTTCACCCAGCACGTTTTATTGCGAAAGCTCTGAATTAAAATGGAACACTTACCTTTTTAAGGGTTGAAAGCCAGTGCTTTAGCAGTCTGAAGAAACTAAAGGGTGTGTGAGAACATCTCAGAATCAAGGTTTAAAAAAATGATCTGGAAAAAGTATCAGTTACATCTTACTAAAAGCCATCAGTAGCTCTCCTTTTCCAGAATGGAGGTTTCTTTTCTGAACAGCCTGTAGCCTCACCAACTTTACCTTTCTCTTAATCCTCTTTTCTTCTGGTGTTCATTATTCCGTCCCCATTGTAAGCCCAAATGCTCTGTCCCAGAGAGCATCTATTGCTAATATAACAGTTGCGTAGTGTCAGATTTGTTGTGTTGCATCAGGTAATTCAGTTGGTATTGCTAATGAAGCTGGCAAAATTAGTGTGAATTTACTCTGTCATGTCTCTTGCTATTTTATGTTATGTGGATTTAGGTCAGGCAAAGTGAAAGGAATGGGAGTTTGGGTGTCTCTTATTCTTTCTACTTTGTCAGAGGTTATTGTTGGCTCTGCTGCTCTCCAGAAAATGCAGTAGAGGTAAATTAAAATGGATAATGTTTTTCCTGCCTTTGTGGTTGTGGTTGTCTTGTGCCTTCTTTTTTCTGCTTCATTCTGTTTTTTTCTTCCTTCATCTCCACAAAGGAAAGTCTCCACAAAGTTCCAGAAATGTGTGATGCTCACATGCTGTGTGGGCTGTGCCAACACTGAGTCTACCTTTTATTTAGTCTTCTGTCCCTGAATTCTGAGGCTGAGGAGCCACTGCCATAAAATACTGAAGGGTAATGTTACACTGACAGTTGCTTTGGCACAGAAAATTTAATTCAGTTCTGGGTGTCACGGTTTAACCCCAGCCAGCAAATAAGCACCACGCAGCCACTCGCTCACTCCCCCGTGGTGGGATGGGGGAGAGAATCGGGAGAGTAGAAGTGAGAAAACTCGTGGGTGGAGATAAAGGCAGTTTAATAGAGAAGGCAAAACCCATGCACACAAGCAAAGCAAAACAAGGAATTAATTCCCTGCTTCCCATGGGCAGGGAGGTGTTCAGCCATCCCCAGGAAAGCAGGGCTCCATCATGGGTAACGGTTACTTGGGAAGACAAATGCCATCACTCCAAACATCTCCCCCTTCCTCCTTCTTCCCCCAGCTTATATACTGAGCATGATGTCATGTGGTCTGGAATAGCCCTTTGGCTTTGACACAGCTGTCCCTGCTGTGCCCCGTCCCAGCTTCTTGTGCACCTGGCAGAGCAGGAGAAGCTGAAAAAGTCCTTGACTAGTCTAGGCACTGCTTAGCAACAGCTAAACCATCGGTGAGTTATCAACATTCTTCTCGCACTAAATCCAAAACCCGGCACTATACCAGCCACTAGGAAGAAAATAATCTCCATCCCAGTCGAAACCAGGACAGGGTGATGGCTGACAGTGCTACAGGTTGGGTATGGCTCCTGGCCATTTTTGCCACCTTCTTTGTATGGCAAAGTAAAATGATTCAGCTGGATGCTTGTCTTGAGGCATGGGTTTGCCAAGCATTAAAAAGGGGACTAGTTAATAAAGAATGAGGGCCAGACTGATAATGATATGAAACTGAAAAGATGGAGAAAATGAAGCTATTATGTGTCATTTATATGTATTCTTCGGCAGCTAAGTGCCTGTACAGATTTATTCCCATTTCACTGAACTTGTTGTTAGTGTTAGTCAGCAGAGGTCAATGTCTTCCTTGCCTGAGTTAACAGTAGGACTTTTTTTGTAGCATTCTGTCCTTCTGCTGAGGAGGCAACGACAGAAATCCTCTAGTGATGTGCCGGTGTGTTGCACGTATTTGGGCTGTTAGAACGATGGTTCATAATCTTGATAATTAACAGAACCCAGTCGGTCTGAGGTAGGTATTTTTAACTTCAAGTGCTTTTAAGAAAGGAAGACATAAACAGCACCTGCTAATGAACAGTTATTTCAGAGTTGTTATTATTCAAAATTGCATTGTTATTTTGCTATACAGTCAATGGTAATGGGGTTGTATATTTTATTATTCATCAACAAGATAGCTACGTATCTTCCAGTGGTATGCTGTTAATGTGCCAAGAAAATGGCATGGTTGGTTTGTTCTTTCTCTCATTCTCTCTCTTGAGGATACTGTGTTTTGTGGTATAGTGTTTTGTTCTGATGGATGTAGAAATGGGTGTGCACTCTGCAGTCATTGGTGCTGGCAAAGGCAAGAGTGAAGCGCATTTCGCCCTTGGAGTGTGAAGTGGTGATGTCTGTGGGAGGTGTTGTTCCAGGGGGGAATTCCTGTCACAGCCTTGCACCTATCTCAGTAAAGCTGTACCACCTGCACATGGCAGCTTGCCCTTCACTGCAGGCAGCTGCACCACACCAGGGAACAGAGCTGTGGACTTTAGGTGACCTTCTAAACAGCTTAGGTTGAGGCAGTTTGAAGGTAGAGATAATGACCTAAGAGAGAGAGAGCACTTGCGTTGATGTGCTTGGGGCCTGTACTTAGTATTGTGAAGTTTTTTGTGAAACGCTTCCTATGGCAACTCTGCTAGTCATATCCATCATGTTTGATACCTGAAGGTCAACTCTCTCTTTAAAAGTCAACTTTGTAAATATTTCGGTGGTTTTCAAGTCTTTTTGTTTTATTGTTTTTTTATTGAACACCCCCATGAAAAAATGTTTTCCAATTAAGACTACTATTTTTTATTTTTCTTGTTCGTTTTGAGTTTGGTGGGGGTTTTTGGTTTGTTTTGTTTTTTGTTTTTTTTAAATACCTTCCCTTGTTTTCTACCTTCTCCCACCCCCAAAGACTGACAGTGGCTCCCTCACACTTCCCAGTTCTCAATCCCACCCTGATTCACTTCATGTCTGGTTGGAAAAACATATTTTATTCTTCTTCTATTCCTATTCTGTTGTAGATTTTGACTTGAACTATTTTTGGCATTGGAGCAAGTTTACAGACTACGTGCAGTGTGTCCTGACCTTCACTGGTGTGACCGGTTACATCACTTACCTCTGGCTTGACTCATCTCTCTTTGTGGAAACACTGGGCTTCCTTGCAGTGTTCACCGAGGCTATGTTAGGCGTTCCCCAGCTCTACCGTAACTACCAGAATAGGTCTACAGAAGGAATGAGGTATGGTTTTTGTCTTCTGTAAAACAAGTAAGTATGTGTGTGCATGTGTAGGTAGATCTTTGGGGGAATACTTTTCTAGGCGGGGCAATGTCATCTTTCTAAATTTTACTTGAAAATACAACAGTTGTAGGAGTAGATTCTCTGTCAGCAGGAGCTGGTGCAGCACTGCTGAAGGCAGTGGAAGCTCCATTCCACCGCTGAGGTCTGGCCCCTTGTCCAAGTCCAGATGGACAGGCCCAAGGTGAAACACATTTTAGTAAAACAAACATATAAAACTACTTCTGTTGCCATTAGCAACCTATTGTAGTTCAACACAAGCTGTGCTGTACTGGTAATTAGAAATGGACTAAAGAGATCTTGCATATCAAAAGTAATAAAGAGGAAGAAAATACTTTGAGCCTGCAGCAAATAACTGTCAGTCTAACTCACATATTGGGTCATCATTTTTCTCGCATGTCTACTCATCACTTTTTTGTAATACATTATTATGTATGTAGCAAATGACATCAGTATTTATCTATGTGTAAAAGCTTGTAACTGACACCTAAAAAAGCTCAAATGAGACGTTTACAGTCGTGACTGGGAAACCCTCTGTGAACAAGTGTGGAACAGAAAACTTTAATCTTGTGCCCGCTGTTGGGTCGTTAAACTAGATTATCTTTTCATGCAGTTTACTGGACATCTCAATCATAACACTAAGATTTCCAAATTGCAAAGGCAACTTGTAAAGCTTTTTAAGAGAGAAAATGTTCACTGTAGTGCATTAGTGCACTGGTCAGTAGAAACAGTACAGCAGCAAATTCAGTTCACGGAGTGCTGTGATCATTTGTGACTCTCACGGTCTTCTCTTTCATTGTTTTGAAATGTCTTTTTCACTGCTTTTAAACTTTCTGGGATAGTTTTTTACTTTGGTTGAAACAAAAAAAATTCCCCACCACCCCCAAACCAAAGCAATTCTGTCCTTTGTCTGTTGACATTGTTCCCTTTACTTGTTTGGCTTGGAGACACTTCTACTAGGTACTTTAAGTTCTCTTCTAGCTTGAAAAGTTGATGAGGGAATGTTCAGAAATTTCCTTTGATGCTTAAGGCATTTTTTTGGTTGGGAGCCCCTTTGGTACAGAGTGAGTCAGGATTTACTTCCAAAATATTGGGGTATTTTTCATGCACACACTGACTGGGAAAATTTTGTACCTGTGATATCCAGAAGGCAGTTTACCTACTAGACCTTCTTTATGAGCTGGTTTGACTTTTCCCTTTGTGTTTGTTGTCTGTGAATCATAATGCCATAATGCCACATTATGATAGCTGCTGCCAGATAGTGTTTTGCCTTTCCTTAGCTTCTCTCTGGGGACCTGAGTTTCAGTTTTCAAATTTCCTGTATATGCTATTTAGCAAAAGGAGAAAAAACCCTTTTGTGCTTCACAGCAACACTTTCTTTGTAAAGCGTTAAGCACAGAATTGCAGAATTCTCATCTAAGACTGCCTGGCAAGAGAATGCTGTGTTTAGTCAAGAGAAAATAGCATAAAAGCTCTCATTCCCTTGCCATCAAACAAAACCAGGTCCAGCGATAGCCACCCTCCTTATTGTCTGTGCCCACAGGTTTTTCCAGAATGCATTCCCCTCTCTGGTTCTACTCTTGAAGCAGTACTTTGCGTGGCATTGGGGGACTGATGAGACAGTATACAGCTTATGCTGCTTTACTGCAGTTGGAGTGTGTTCATCCAAATGCACATGTTAGTATTTTTTCATTTTTCAGGTTATATTGGAGTTTTATATAGGTTGCAGGTACCATGTATACTTTCTAGCACCATGCAATCCTGAGTGGATTTGATGGTCTCTAAGCGTTACCGGGCTGTTCCTACTGTGAGAGTGACTTCCACTAGTGTACTGCCTTCTGTTGGAAATACTTCCTCTGAACTTCCCTTCCTGTGCCTGCTGGTTTGTCTAAAAGCACATCAGAGAAGAGACCCTAGTCCTGGAAGCACTGAAGGACACATGTAACAGTCCAGCCAGACTGAGCTTTCACAGCACTGAGTTTATGAACTTGAGTGGGTAATTACCAGGTGGGGGCTAGTTGACGTCCACTGCTCTGTGCTGTTACTTAATGCTCAGTGCAGAAATGACATGTGTGTGTGTGGATGGTTGCACTGTCCAGAGCAACTGAACTGGTGGCAATCCTCTGCCCATCAACTGGGCCATAATGGCTGGCTGTCAGGTGTGCTCTTAGCAAGCCTCAGTGGCAAAGTAAAATAGATGAGTTTCAAGTGTCTTTGTGGCTTTAAGCTTAATGGGGAGAGCAGTGAGAATTAAGCTGTTCTATTTAGTGACCTTTTGGACAATTACCACATCCTGGTTGGAAGCAGTAACTTCTTAAGCCACAGTAGTTCTGTCCCCTGTGGTGTATGAGTGGAGCCCATGCCCCCGATAAACATCACAGCCTTACTACTACCAGAGAAGGGGTTGTTTGGAGGTCCTCATGGCTTGGCTGAGAAAAGCAGTAACATGCATCTGTCTCTGAATTGGGGCAGAATGGGGCACAGCAGCTGATATGTTAAGTATATTTCTACTTTAGCAAATAATTCCTTTCCTAAATGTAAACTGACAAAATAGAAACGGAGAATAAGGTAACAGTATGTGGCCACATCTGATCAGGTTATCCTGCCAGGCTCCTCAAAAATTGTCTTGTTTCTGAAAAAGGGCATCAAACAAACAACGCTAGAGCCCCTTCTACCCCAACTACCCCTTTCTGTTTAAACGAGAAGTTGAGGATATCTCATGCTTGGGGCAGCAGTCATTTCCTGACAAATAAACCTGGAGATTAGAGGCCATGAAAGTGGTAAATGGTACAGGTGGCTGTGGTGGCAGGCAGGATACCCTTTGGGAGTCTGTTGTGTAAAGGGGTCCCACCTTACCTCTGTATTTCAATCTGCTACTGCCTGAGAAGTCCCCTAACCGAAAATGTGCTCCGTGTCTGAGGTAAACGTCCAAAGACATTTGCAGCTGAGTCACTTATGTTTATTGTAACAGGACATGGCTGGAATAAAAGAATCAACGTTATGTGCATTGTAGTATTCCTGAGAACGAGCCTTCCAGGTCTTTGATATCTCTATTCTGCTGGGTAGAGTTCTTCACTTCCTATTTTTATTTATGTCTTCATTTCTCCCTACTTCTCTCATTTTCGTTCTTTTTGTAACAATGTCACTAGTAGGTCCTGTAGTTTCCACCTCTGTTCTCTGAGAGAGCAGAGACCAAAGGAGAAGTTGGAAAGAGATGGAAACAATAAAAGCAGGAGATGGATGCTGAGTAACAGCTTTTATGGAGGGAAGACTGTGTAGTATGTCCTGGTGGTCTGATGATTGTTGGGTGGAAATTTTCCCATGATTAAGGAAACAGACCTAAGCCAGTCAAAGGAACAGAAATTTTCATGTTCTCTTTGACAATTCCTCTGATTACTTTTGGAATTAGTACTTTATAGAACCTTAGAGCTCTGTCCAAGCATTTAACTGCTTCTGAATAGTTGCAAACCTAAATAGTACAGTCATAGTTCTATTAATTATGGTACTAACCTTGACAGAAGTGCTTTTTTAATGAACTGTGGTACAAATTAATACCTATCAAGGAAATGAAAACTGAATTTCATCTCCATTCACTTCAAGAACTAAACTAGTTCTTTCCTGTCACCTAGTAAAAGAGTAATTTAATGGCATTCATTTTTATGAGGATGGATTAGAATCATGAGTATGATTATGTTTGCATCGGTTATAGGAAGGAGGAAAGCAACCTCAAAACTTAAGAGCTTTGGAATATAGGAGGCATCCTGCTATATGGGGAAAAAAGCATTATGAGGTTCAAGGCTTGCTCAACACTTGGAAATTCTTTTTATATTATGTGGTAAAATATTTCAAGATCTTGATATCAAAAACAACCATCCCCTCCATCTTCCAGGAGGCAGAGATGCTGACTGTGCTACAGCTGGGATCTGATGCTCCTCATAGCACTAACTGCTTTTGCTTTGTGACAAAAACCATATGGACAAGAACTTCCTCTGTCATTTATCTTTGTGTCCCCCGCTCCTTCTAAGATACTTGCCTCCCAGTTGCTTTCCCCTTCTAATAAACTGCAGTGATGAGAAAAGCTAGTGTTTAGCGTGAGGTGGTGGAGGTGAAGGGAAGGTTGGCTCTGGATCTGGCAGCAGCGCTGGTGCACACAGAGGTAGGGGCCCACTGGTCAGTTTGTGGGGAGAATCGCATCCTTGTGGGGACAACAGCTTTTGTGGAGCTCCTGCAGGGGGGAAGCATGTGCTTTTGCGCAGGGGTGGGGAGAGACTCATCTCTGGGAGACACAGGTTCATGCAGGCCCTAGTGTTATTATGCACCCTTCATAATCCTGTCAGACTTCCCTCTGTCAAAAGAGGAGGGTGCAGGGTGTTCCTCTATGTGACAAAGCTGCAGGTGTGCTGTCCTACACAGAGATGTGTTAATGCTGGGACTGCACAACGGTGGATTTGCTCCAGGGCAGTCTGTTGTATTGCATTCCTGTCTGCTGCCCTGCCCTGCTCTGCTCTGGAAAAAATAACTGCCCTTTATTGAAAGTTTTTCATAAAAGCTCATCAAAATCACCTGGCAGCGACCCTTTTTGACTGTCAGCTGCTGCTCCAACCCCATGGAGCAACGTTTTCTTTTCAGTCTGCTTGGAGTTCAGAGCTGCTGGATGGCAGAATCTCCCCAGGTCCAAAAAAGAGGTCTGGCAGTAGAGGTCTGACTGAGCTGGGCTGCATACCTCGAAGTCTCAGAAGCCATGCTCCAGGTGATACTCAAACGTGCCCATCAATGGCTAGCTTGGAAGCATGTGGGTCCAGAAAGCAAGGTCCTCTTGCAGGGGTTGTTGAGCTCCTGGCGTACGCTGTTGTCTCTTCCCCGGCTGCACGCTGGGCGCGAGGCAGCACGGACGGTGCCTGGCTCAGGGCTGCGTGCACAGCTGCAGGGTTGGAGGGACAGAA